AACATGGTCCATGGACCTTCCAAAACACTTTACAAACCTCTGACCTCATTAAATCACTAGTCTCTCATCTCCGGATACTGTGGACTCTTCCTTACGTTCCTGGTTTTTCTGATTTTCTCGCTGAGTTCTTCCAACCTGTATGCGTTTTGCTTGGGTCCTTGGGCAGTTGGTTTTTCCATTCGTAGGAAAGGAAAGAAAAGCACAAACAACAGGTGTGCACCCAAGCCTTTTATTAGAACTGTGATTCAGAACTGGGGAGTTCAGTGTCTTAGAAACTAGGTTTCTGGAGTGGACAGAGAAGCAGTACCTCATGGTGCTTCTGGTTCTATTTCTCCAAGGCTTTGTCGTTAATTAGTTGCCACTGGATCACTGAGGCTGAGGTGCTTCACAGTTATTTCTAAGCTGCGGTCCTGGCCTCAAAGAACAAGTTAGATCCAGGCAAGGTCTCTGTGTATTAATTGGGAGAAAGGACTCTGGCTTGAAGACCACGTGGTTTTCCTGGCCAGGTAGGTTTAAAAAGTGGAGTATTCTCCAAGCTGGCCCCAGACAGGGTTGATGTTGGCAGGATGGCAAGGACATTCACTCTGAGACCTCCAGAACAGCACCCGCCCCCCATTATGCCTGGTCATGGAGCTGGACGGATATGAGATTGAGCTGTAATTGGCCTCTTTTCGCCTTCACAGGAAGGAAACTGAGGCCGTCCTGGAATTGTGAGCACAGAATTGGGAAAGTGTAGCCTATGTTCATAATGTCTCCTCCACCCCTGCCCCCTTGTATCTGTTTCATCTTAAAAAGACTCCTTGAGGGGCTAGAGTGATAGCACAGTGGGTAGGGCATTTGCTTGCATGCAGCCAACCCGGGTTCGATTCCCAGCATTCCATGTGGTCCCTTGAGCGCCACCAGGAGTAATTCCTGAATGCAAAGCCAGGAGTAACCCCCATGCGCTGGGTGTGACCCAAAAAGGAAAAAAAAGAAACAACTCCTTGACATTTTCTCTAAATGTATCTTTAGAAACTGGTTAGATCTGGGATTTGGATTGGGGGTTTCTTCCCTAAACCATTCATTTGGAAATCCCCAAAGTTTAAGTGCCATTGAACAAACCCACCACTAGAGATAAATAGGAGTGAAAGGCATGAGTAATATGAATGGTGGAGGGGTTTTATGTTAAGAAGACTAATCACATTAGACACTGGGTGGTTTGAAAATGGATCCACATACACCTAACAGGCAGCCTTGTGGGCGGTGGTGTTTAGTCTAATTATCCTCCAACACCTGTTTGGCCTTGAGAGTCGTGGCAACATTGAGCCGAGGGACAGGAGATGGGTCGGGTGTACATTTGAACTGTATATCCATCTCATGACCTTTTGAAGGAGCATTTCCTTTTAGTGAGTTCAGTAGCTCTTCCTCTTCTGCTTTTGATCTTGCTGATATTTGGTCAGTGAGGAGAAAAAAAAAAGTCCACTGCTTAATCTCACCATCATGGTATTTGTTTTAATGATATCAGCAGATCAGAGATTCAGGATTTTAGTATAAAATCATAAAGGAATAGCAGATCGGCATCTTATTGAGCATCTCAGGATTGTTGTACTTCTGGGTTGATGAAGAGGTCAACAATGTGGCACTTGGGGCTGGAGTGACAGTACAGTGGGTAGGGCATTTGCTTTGCACCTGGCTAACCTGGGTTCGATTCTTGGCATCCCGTATGGTCCCCGAGCACCATCAGGAGAAATTCCTGAGCGCAGAGCCAGAAATAACCCCTGTGCATCACCGGGTGTGACCCAAAAAGTCAAAAAGACACTTCGTGCTCATCTCCCCCCCCCACCCCGAGTTATGGTTAGTGTCACAAAGGTTTTTCCATCTGCTGCAACAGTGTGCTCATTGGTGGATGGGTGGGTCATCCTCAAGCCCATTTCCTTTGTCTCTCCCTGTCCCTGCTCCCTTCACTAACACTCCTTGTCCATGTGTGTCCTCGCTCAAACACATCACCTTCAGGTGCTTTGATTATTGAGGCCGTACCAGCAGCTTCTATTTTCCTCTTCTGTCAGACTCTTTAGGTGAAATGTGTACACAAAGGTAAAATGGCTTTCAAAGGAGGTGACCTCCTCATTTCCAGGCTTGGTGCAGACATCAAATTGAAGGCCATTCAGCTGTATCTGATGCTGGTTCTCTGCAGCCGCCTGGAGATTAACCTCTTCTAAGACTCTGAGCTGTTTTTGAGGTAGAGACTGCAACAACATTAAAGCTAGAACCCATTAGGAAATCACTTTCATCATCTCTTCTTTTTCCAAATCAGTGTCTTTTTTTGTTTTCCCCCGGCTCTCATAACCCTTTCATCTCCTCGGTAACACAATAAGGAAGGAGACTCTTGGTTTGTGTTTGCATCCAGCAAAGTGAGAATCCTTGACAACGATTTCCAAAGACCCCTAGATATTAGAGAATGGCATCGAGTGATGAATTTCATGTCTGGGTGATGACTTAATGCTGGAGGTGCCCTGCTCTTCGTGGGCAGAAGCATCATTTTTGTGAATGTTGTGCCAACTAGGCTCAAACTTTCCAAAAGACACAGTAGAAAGCCTTTTGTTGCATTATTTCTAAAGGCTTGAAGTTTTGAAGGGAAGAGATTTTGTTTTCCTCTCTGCTACACAATGGAGCTTTCAGAGAACCTCTTTTAAAAGGAATAGCTACGGCCTTTGTGTTGAAGGGTGTGTCTGTTGGCAGGGTCTGCTGATGCAGACAGACTGGCTGGTGATTAACAAAGGTCATTAGACTTTGGAATCTGGCAAGCAGGATTGGATGGTATGTCTTCTGTGTGTGGAAGGACGACTCCTAAGAAGCCAAGGCATTATGGAAGGTCTCCCCCTTTCCCCCCTCCAACCCCCAAATCCTGCTGTAGAACCGAGCCTGGTCCAGGAAGGATCCTACCATAATAACGAGCGAGCTCTGTTGGGATGCATGAACCAGCATATCAATCATGGGATAAAAGAACCTTCGGAGATCTGGGTGAATGACATTTGAGGAGGAGAAAGGTGCTACGTTTTCAGAAAGCAATGAAAACAGTTCATTCTTTGTTGGGAGGAGCCTGCTCTTCTTCAGCTCCTTTCTGATCGCCAGCCTAGCAGAATCCCAGAGAAGCCATGTTGTGCACGGAGGAGAAGCTCTGAGCTAAAATGGCTGCTTCTGAAGCTCAGAGGACTAGGGCAGCTTAGTGAGTCTTAGAGCTTCAGTGACGCAGGAGCTCCTATCTCTTCAAAGTGTGATAAACACATTCAGCAGAGCTGTGGCTTGTTTGGCTGAGATGAAAGGGCTAAGCTGGGGTGGGGGGGAGGGGGGTGATGGGGAGTGCACACTGGATGATCTGCTTTTTTTTTCTGTGAAGTGTTCTAAATGCAGGAGTCGTCTGCACCATGGAAAAATTTGTTTTCAGGTCTAATGGACTGTGCGAAAGGAGAAGTGGGGTGGGGCCTCAGTGTCTGCTGTAATTTGATCCTAAGCTGATAGCAACCTCTTCCACACAATTTGGGTTGGTGCTTTGACACTGAAGCGCGTGTCTACGGAATAGTGAGCCTTCACTGAAAAGACTCTGGTGCCCCGCCTGATGCTTATTGAAAGAAAAAAGGGATAAATTACTGGGTGAAAGAAAGAGGCAGATATCCATGTCTCCCTCTTGCCAGCTCACTCTGACCAGAGCAGGACTGGCCAGAAGTTCCGTTCACAGGCTCTCAGGCAATCTTCCACAGCAAATCCTACTGCCCTGGTTCCTCTCACCCCGGTGACCTATGGCTTGACTTGAATGCTCCTGCAGAAATCATTCCTCTCTGGCTATTAAAGGAGAGGATGCTGCTATTAGAATAAATAGGAAGATTTGGCTGCAGGTTTAGTTTCTTGGACCTCTGGTTCTAGATTGCTATGACTCAGTAGCATTTGCAGTGAGCTTGGTGAGGTAACTCCCTCATGAAGATAACCAGTGGCTATATCCACTCAGTTCATGCAGTTAAGATAGACTGCGTCTTCCCGACACAGTTTTGTCTTGTCCATGGTCAAGCTTTCCACCGAATTAGTGGGAAGGTATCTATGGAATTCAGTCAAGTGTTTTATAGCAGGATAAATGTAGCTGAGCAAGTTTGACTCTATTCTCCACCCCTAGTTCACCACTTTTTGTTCAAGTATATGCTCCGATTGTGTAAAGAAGAGAAGAAAAGTCTTGACTTAGAAGCCCCTCTTCACAACTGCAAGTATCTGTTGCCATAATGTAAATGGAAGAACCAACGTTCAACTTGAAACTAGAAACTGGATTGTCATCTAAACTTGGTTGTTTGAGAATCTCATGAGAAATATTTTATGACCTAATTAGATTGGAGAAGCTGTTAGATTATAATTGGTAGGTAGTAAAAGAGCAAATAACCATTTAGCTCATAGGAAAAAAAGCACAAAAAAGCAATCCAACTTAACTGGGGAAGGCAGGAAAGAGGTATACCTCATATATCAGTTATGATATTAAAATAATAAGAGGTACAATAAAAGCTCTCTACCACTATATTGAGAATCAATACCATTTCACCAATTGGTGATACAGCATTAAATGTTTTAATGTTAGAATGGCTCATGGAGATTGAACTTTGTCTTACCTTTTCTAGAGACATCTTTCCTTCTGAGAGGGTTCTAGTTTAAACTGAAGTCCAGATCAGAACCAAAGTCAAACTAAGTAAGAAATTTATCCAGAAACTGCTAAAACCTTTCAAGTTTCCTTCACAATTAGCATTTGAACATATATCAGTCTAGAAAAAGTTTATCTTCGTGTTTAACTTCCCCTTTGAAGTTATGAAGTCTAGGACATCATTATGCCCAATGGTCTTCCTTGATCTAATTTTCTGACTGGCAAAAGTTCAGTGAGAGATATATGTCTATATTAGTTTTTTCCTATGAATGGACCCATAGCCCCATTGGCTTGGGGTATGCCACTAGTACGTGTCTTACGGCGCTTTGCTCTGCCTTTGCCACAGGTTCCTAATGTGAGAGGTTAGACCCTGATCATGGAGGTGCTTCAGTGCGATGGCTGTGACTTCAGAGCCCCATCTTATGAAGATCTCAAGGCGCACATTCAGGATGTCCACACGGCCTTTCTGCAGCCCACTGATGTTGCTGAAGACAATGTGAATGAGCCACGGTCCGGGTCTATGAATGCCAGTAATCAAACAGAGGTGGAATTTTCTTCTATAAAAGATGAATTTGCTATTGCAGAGGATTTATCAGGTAAATCTATATTAAATTCCAGATATCAGATGGATTTCATCGCTGTCATCCATTTTTGTCTTCAGCCGTAATTCTTGATAGGCCTGGCTTCTGCAGAGTTTGTAGCTCTTCCTGAGATATCTTTTGTGGTTTGGACTTTATGTGTCTGGCCTAAAGTATCCCAGGATGTTGTCATCTTAGTTTTCTTATGCCTCTCAGTTTCCTTCTTTATTTGAAGAACAGACAGTAAACTTGGAAAGTTCTAGAATGAATGTGGCGGCTTAGGAAACTTATGTGGCGAATGAAGATGAGGCTGTTTTTTTGTACTTCAAGCCAATACTTCCTCTTTGTCTGTGAGAGACAATATGTGTATGATCATTAATGTTGGGTTAATACTCTTCAGGGCTTCATCTCGAGGCATTAGGGCTTTGACTCTGATGTTTATTAACGAAGAATAATTGAAAAGTAAATTGATTTGTGTGATTGAATTTCTTAATTCTTTGTTGCTTTTGCTTTGCTTTCCCCGCTTAACTTGTGCTTTCTCTTTAGGTCAAAATGCTACTGCATTGGGATCTGGAAGTTACTATGGACACAGTCCAGGATATTACAGTCAGCATCTTGCTCCTAATCCAAAACCAACCAACAAATTTTTTCAATGCAAGTTCTGCGTACGCTACTTCAGGTCAAAAAACCTCCTCATTGAACATACTAGGAAGGTCCATGGAGCTCAAGCTGAAGGGGGTTCCGTGGGACCCCCAGTTCCAGGATCCTTAAATTATAATATCATGATGCATGAGGGATTTGGAAAGGTCTTCTCCTGCCAATTTTGCACATACAAGTCACCAAGGAGGGCAAGAATAATGAAGCACCAGAAGATGTATCACAAGAACAATTTGAAGGAGACCTCTGCTCCCCCACCAGCCCCTGCTCCAATGCCAGACCCTGTGGTTCCTCCTGTGTCCCTGCAAGATCCCTGCAAAGAACTGCCAGCAGAGGTGGTGGAGCGCAGCATCTTAGAGTCCATGGTCAAACCTTTGACTAAGTCTCGAGGCAACTTTTGCTGTGAGTGGTGCAGCTATCAGACCCCACGCCGAGAACGCTGGTGTGACCACATGATGAAGAAACACCGAAGTATGGTCAAGATACTTTCCAGTCTCAGACAGCAGCAAGAAGGGACTTCTAATCTACCAGAGGTGCAGAACAGTGACCCCAGCCCCACTTCCAATTCCACTTATCTGTCTATGAATGCTGCAAGCCGGGAGATCCCCAACACTAATGTCTCCAGCTACCGGGGATCCATGAGCAACTCCATCATGAGACCTAATTCTTCTGCTTCCAAGTTTTCACCCATGTCTTACCCTCAGATGAAGCCGAAGTCACCTCACAATTCTGGCCTCGTTAACTTGGCGGAGAGATCTCGTTATGGAATGGCTGACATGACCAATTCTTCTGCTGATCTGGAAACGAACAGCATGCTGAATGACTCTAGTTCTGATGAAGAGTTAAATGAAATAGACAGTGAGAATGGTCTAAATGCCATGGATCACCAGGCGTCAGGTCTGTCTGCAGAGCAGCTGATGAGCTCAGATGGCAACAAGTTATTGGAGACCAAGGGGATTCCATTCAGAAGGTTCATGAACAGGTTCCAGTGCCCTTTTTGTCCTTTCCTCACCATGCATCGACGGAGCATCTCCCGTCATATAGAGAACATCCACTTGTCTGGAAAGACCGCCGTCTACAAGTGTGACGAATGTCCGTTTACTTGCAAAAGCTCCCTGAAACTCGGGGCTCACAAACAGTGTCACACGGGTACAACGTCAGATTGGGATGCTGTGAACTCCCAGAGTGAAAGCATTTCTTCCTCACTGAATGAAGGCGTCATGTCTTACGAGAGCTCGAGCGTCAATGGTAGAAAGTCAGGGGTCCTGCTGGATCCTTTGCAGCAGCAACAGCAACAGCAGCAGCCGCCGCCACCTCCGCCACCACTGCCACCACCACCACCACCCCCTCCATCACAGCCGCAGCCACCCCCGCTCCAGCCACCACATCAGGTGCCACCGCAACCCCAACCACCACCACCACCACCACAGCCACCCTTGCAAGCCGCTCCCCTGCACCCTTACAAATGCACCATGTGCAACTACTCCACCACCACTCTGAAAGGGCTAAGAGTCCATCAGCAGCACAAACACTCATTCTGCGACAACTTGCCAAAATTCGAGGGGCAACCCTCAAGCCTACCATTGGAAAGTGAGACAGAGAGCCATCCCTCTTCCAGTAACACTGTGAAGAAAAGTCAGACCTCAATTCTTGGGTTGTCCTCCAAGAACCATTTTGTAGCTAAGGCCTCTAGGAAACTTGCGAATGACTTTCCCCTTGATTTATCGCCTGTAAAGAAGAGAACTCGGATTGATGAGATAGCCAGCAACTTGCAGAGCAAAATTAACCAAACCAAACAACAGGAAGATGCAGTCATCAATGTCGAGGATGACGAGGAGGAAGAGGAAGACAATGAAGTAGAGATAGAGGTTGAGTTAGATAGGGAAGAAGAGCCAACAGAGCCAGTCCTGGAGGTGTCCACCTCCTTTTCAGCCCAGCAGCTCTGGGCGAGAGATGCTGGGGAGCCTCCCAAGGAACCCAGCTTCAGGAATGTCACCCATGACTACAATGCCACCAATGGGGCTGAGATTGAGCTTACTCTTTCTGAAGATGAAGAGGATTACTATGGCTCCTCTGCAAACCTGAAAGACCTCCAGGTTTCGAATGCTGCCCTGCTGAACACTCCAACACCTCTCTATGGGACTGAGCACAATAATGAAACTACAGACTTTGGTGACTCTGGAAGGCTTTACTATTGCAAACACTGTGACTTTAACAACAAATCTGCCCGGAGTGTGAGCACCCACTACCAACGAATGCACCCATATATTAAATTCAGTTTTAGGTACATCTTAGACCCCAATGACCACAGTGCAGTCTACAGGTGCCTGGAATGCTACATCGATTATACCAACTTTGAAGATCTGCAACAGCATTACGGCGAACACCATCCAGAAGCCATGAATGTCCTCAACTTCGACCATTCGGATCTGATCTACCGGTGTCGGTTCTGTTCATACACGAGTCCGAATGTTAGGAGCCTGATGCCACATTACCAAAGAATGCATCCCACGGTGAAGATCAACAACGCAATGATATTTTCCAGCTATGTCGTGGAGCAACAAGAAGGGCTGAACACAGAATCCCAGACGCTCCGGGAGATTCTGAACTCGGCTCCCAAGAGCATGGCGACTTCCACGCCTGTGGCACGTGGTGGCGGCCTGCCGTCTCCATTTGGTAAAAACACTCCTTCCAAGACCTTTCCTCCAGAATGTGAAAACCAGAAGGACCCCTCAGTGAACACCGTTGTAGTGTACGATTGTGACGTTTGTTCTTTTGCGAGCCCCAACATGCATTCTGTGCTGGTCCATTATCAGAAGAAACACCCCGAAGAAAAGGCTTCCTACTTTAGGATCCAGAAAACCATGCGCATGGTGTCTGTGGACAGGGGCGCCGCCCTTTCTCAATTGTCATTTGAGGTGGGTGCTCCACTGTCTCCCAAAATGTCCAACATGGGTTCCCCACCCCCCCCACAACCCCCACCACCAGACCTCAGTACTGAGCTTTACTACTGCAAACACTGTTCCTACAGCAATCGGTCAGTTGTGGGCGTGCTTGTCCACTACCAGAAAAGACACCCAGAAATAAAGGTCACTGCCAAATATATCAGACAGGCTCCTCCCACAGCTGCCATGATGAGAGGGGTCGAGGGGTTCCAAGGCTCCCCCCGGCCACCTGCTCCCATGCAGCAGCTGAACCGGAGTGACGGCCCTCCCGTGGAGAACGAGATGTTCTTCTGTCAGCACTGTGATTACGGGAACCGGACCGTCAAAGGTGTCCTCATCCATTATCAGAAGAAGCACCGTGACTTTAAGGCCAATGCCGATGTGATCCGGCAGCACACAGCCACCATCAGAAGCCTCTGTGACCGGAACCAGAAGAAGACGGGCAGTTGCATGCTTGTCCCTTCCTCTAGTATAGAGCGGGACAAAACGAAGCTCCGAGCGCTCAAATGTAGGCAGTGCTCATATACCTCCCCCTATTTCTATGCACTGAGGAAGCATATTAAGAAAGACCACCCCGCCCTGAAGGCCACAGTTACGTCCATTATGCGGTGGGCGTTTCTAGATGGCTTGATAGAAGCTGGCTACCACTGTGAGTGGTGCATCTATTCCCACCCCGAGCCCAATGGTTTGCTCCTCCATTACCAAAGGAGACACCCAGAGCATTATGTTGACTACACTTACATGGCTACCAAACTCTGGGCGGGGCCAGACCCATCCCCTCCTTCTCTCGCAATGCCAGCTGAAGCCAAAATCTACAGATGCCGAGACTGTGCCTTTGAAGCCGTCTCCATCTGGGACATCACCAGTCACTACCAAGCGTTCCACCCTTGGGCCATGAATGGTGACGAGTCTGGGTTGCTGGATATCATCAAGGAGAAAGACGTGGTCGAGACTCTCCTCCCCCCTTCTGAAGAGCTGATGGGCCCCATGAATTGTGAAAATAATATGCCCCCCCCACTCCCCGAGCAGGAAGCCGAGTGCCCCGAGGATGCCAGACTCTCCCCCGAGAAAGGCATCCAGCTGGCTTCCGCTAACCCTGCCATCTCCTCTACCCCGTACCAGTGCACTGTCTGCCAGTCTGAATATAACAACCTTCATGGCCTTCTCACCCACTATGGGAAGAAGCATCCTGGCATGAAAGTGAAGGCAGCTGACTTTGCCCAGGACATTGACATCAACCCTGGTGCCGTCTACAAATGCCGGCATTGCCCGTACATCAACACCCGCATCCACGGCGTCCTGACCCACTACCAGAAGCGACACCCTTCCATCAAGGTGACAGCCGAGGACTTCGTGCATGACGTGGAGCAGTCGACCGATATTGCCCAGAACGATGTGGAGGAAACCAGCAGGATCTTCAAGCAAGGGTACGGTGCCTACCGCTGCAAGCTCTGTCCCTACACCCATGGCACCTTGGAGAAGCTTAAGATCCACTACGAGAAGTACCACAATCAGCCGGAGTTTGATGTCTTCTCCCAGTCACCCCCGAAGCTGCCAGTGTCCCTTGAGCCTGAGATAACCACTGAAGTGAGCCCCTCCCAGGTCTCTGTCACCGAGGAGGAGGTGGTGGGCGAGGAGTCCGTGTCCACCTCTCACTTCTCTACCTCGCACCTGGTGTCCCACACGGTGTTCCGGTGCCAGCTCTGCAAGTACTTCTGTTCCACAAGGAAGGGGATCGCCAGGCACTACCGCATCAAGCACAACAACGTCCGCGCCCAGCCCGAGGGCAAGAACAACCTCTTCAAGTGTGCCCTGTGTGCCTACACCAACCCCATCCGCAAAGGCCTGGCTGCCCACTACCAGAAGCGGCACGACATCGACGCCTATTACACCCATTGCCTGGCTGCCTCCAGAACCATCAGCGACAAGCCCAACAAGGTGATCATCCCGTCCCCGCCCAAGGACGACTCGCCCCAGCTCAGCGAGGAGCTCCGGCGGGCCGTGGAGAAGAAAAAGTGCTCCCTGTGTTCCTTCCAGTCTTTCAGCAAGAAGGGCATCGTGTCCCATTACATGAAGCGCCACCCGGGGGTGTTCCCCAAGAAGCAGCATGCCAGCAAGCTGGGGGGCTACTTCACCGCCGTCTACGCCGACGAGCACGAGAAGCCGCTGCTGCTGGAAGAGGAGGAGAGGGGCAGCCTGGAGAAAGCCGAGCTGGAGGGCGACGCGCAGGAGATGGAGTGGCTCCCGTTCCGCTGTGTCAAATGCTTCAAGCTGTCCTTCAGCACGGCGGAGCTCCTGTGCATGCATTACACTGACCACCACAGCCGGGATCTCAAGAGGGACTTCGTCATCCTCGGCAGCAACGGCCCCCGCTTGCAGAACCCCGCCTACCAGTGCAAGCACTGTGATAGCAAGCTGCTAAGCACAGCCGAGCTGACCTCACACTTGAACATTCACAATGAGGAATTCCAGAAGCGTGCCAAACGTCAGGAGAGGAGGAAACAGCTTTTGAGCAAGCAGAAATATGCAGATGGTGCTTTTGCAGATTTCAAACAAGAGAGGGTAAGGATATGTTTTGATTTCCCTTCCCCCAGGAGGCCTCTCATCACTGGTGCCCACATGCGCTTCTTCGTTGCCAGCCAAACTGCTACCAGCTTCCTAGTGACTTAGCTTGCCAGAGAGCTCAATAAGTCAATTAAACATTTCGAGCTTGATTATTTCCCCCCCCTTCTATGCTCGCCCTTCTCCACGGTCTTGTTCCCCTCCCTCCACTCCTCCCCAGGCTCCCTAGGGGAGGGTTGGGGTGGTTTCTCTGTATTGCTCTCTGCCGAGTAGCCTTATAACGAGGCCTTGACACACAACAACGCTCGCTCTCGGTCCTGAGGCAGTGGGGGGCCACCCCGTGGTCTCATTAGCACCTCTCAGCCATGTCTTGGTCTGCAGTCTCTGCTACAGGAACCTGTAACAGCTCAAGGAGTAGCTGTTTTGCCAAGAAGTTCGTTAAGTGACGTGGCTGTGCACCGTTTCACCTGCGCGGTGGAAATGGGTTTGAAACACCAGCTAACTTGGTGGCAGTGACGATGAGGCGTCTGCACAGAAATCTTCTCTCCTCACAAGTTGCCCCATGTCTGGGTTCCAGAGACTTTGCATAGTAGGCAGTGTGCCACGGAACTGACGAATCCGGTTAAAAATACTCACATAGCTCTCCCCGGGTTTTTTAACCTGCTAATCTGCTTTAAAATAAAATCTGCTAGTAAGCTGCAAGAATTAAAATGCCGGCCATTGAGGGAGGGCTCGGAGTACTGATGGCTACCACTGTATTTTACCAGCCTTTTGGTCACTTAGAAGAGGTGCCAAAGATCAAGGAGAGGAAGGTGGTGGGCTACAAGTGTAAGTTCTGTGTGGAAGTGCACCCGACGCTCCGAGCCATCTGCAACCACCTCCGCAAGCACGTCCAGTATGGCAGCGTCCCAGCCGTGAAGGTGAGAACCGGGAGGCCCGCAGGAGCCGTCTCCCACGCGAGTCGTTGAGTTTCCTCTGTAACCCCATCGCTCGTGCCGCTCAGGAAGGGCCGTCCCAGCCCGGGAGCGTTCCTGAGTGATGCTTACCTTGCTGGCTTGTTTTGATTTCTTTGCAGGTTGGACCTTCCGCACCTTCCGTGTCTCCACCTGGTCAAGTTTCCATGTGGCTAGTTTGGCATTGGAGGATCTGGGCCATCCGGTCCAGGAGGCTTTGGGTCACCCCCCTAGTCTGCCTGTAGGGCCATTGGGTGTTCTTTTGAGTCATCTGAGGTCTTGAGAGAGAGTCTGTGAGTTCAGCCCTCAGAATCTTCTTTTTTACTTCCCTCTACCTGGCCCCTTCCGTTTCTCTGGCTGACAGTGCAGAAAACCCTTGGGAAGCCCATCTTGTATGCATCTTACCCAGGGTCCTTGGAGGAGTGTCAGAGATATTGTAACTAAAAGCCTGACCTGTTGTCTCCTCCACCCCCTTGCCCATATTACTGATCAACTCTTCCCCCGCCCCCCTGTCCCCCAACCTGTATTAGGTCACCTGTTTTGGACATTATGATCCAAGCAGCAGCCACCATGCCCATAAGTGAGACATTGTGCCTTCCTCCCAGGATGTCACAAAGCCCTTTGCATTGGGGAACAGTTCAGGTCTCTTCTCTGTCTCTGTCTCTGTCTCTGTCTCTCTGTCTCTCTCTCTCTCTGCAATCACTCATATGTTGTTTCATTTTCCTTTGCTTTCCTTCATGGAAGACTGAAGCTCCTTGGCTGTGGGCAGAGTGGGGGCCTCCTGGGGCAGCTTCAGGCACTTCCTTCTGTCCCAGTGCTGTGTCCGTGGCTGGGTTCCTGGGATTACTGGGGGAAAGCAGCGCAACTCTTCCCATGCGATTAGCTCCAAGAATGAGGAGCTACTTCCAAACACGAACCTCTTAATCGGGCTGCCACCAATTGGCTGTTCAGTAACCTCCACTTAAGGGGGTGAGTCTTCAGGGTGGGGCAAGCTTGGTGGCAAAGAACAAGTTCTCACACTTCCTTTCATCCCCAAAGGACGGCCTAAGTTTCCTCTGCAACAAATCTTTGTTTTATCCCTTCTTTTCTCTGAACCATACTCCTAACCCTACTTTTATTTATTTATTTTTTTATTAGTGAGTCACTGTGAGGTACAGTTACATCCTTACCAATTTTCATGTTTGCGTTTCAGTCATACAATGATCGAGTACCCATCCCTCCACCAGTGCCCATTCTCCACCACCAATGATCCCAGGAGCCCTCCCACCACCCCCATCCCATCTCCCCCACCCCACCCTGCTTCTGTGGCAGGGCATTTCCTTTTGTTCTCTCTCTCTCTCTCTCTCTCTCCTTTTGCTAACCTTACTTTTAGATCAGTGCAGATGAGATGGACATCTGGACAGTTTTCTGATGGGAGATAAATGGGTGAATGATTTTTGTTGTGGGTGTGACCCTCCTCATGTGTGTCCCAAACAGCAGTAACTGTGCCTGGTGGCCATGCTGTCCTGAACTGAACCACCATGTAGAATGGCACTCAGGTTTTTAGCCCTCCCTCAAGGGGGAGCCAGAGAGGCAAGGGAGAAAGCAGAGACGAGGAGAGAATGACACATTTGGGAGAATAAAGAGAAGGAAAGCTGGGGGCAATGATGATGGATATTTATTTTGTTGGTGGGGCATGTGTGTGTGTGTGGTTCTCTTAGCAGGAGGCCGAAGACCCCTCCCACTTGTTCCTGGATGGATTTGAAGCTTCCAGAGAGGCCACTGGCACCCTGGTGGACCGGGTGGATGGTGAACACTGCTTGCTTGATGGAATGTTGGAGGATGAAACCCGGCCGGGGGGATACCATTGTAGTCAATGTGACAGAGTCCTGATGTCCATGCAGGGGCTGCGTTCTCATGAGAGGAGCCATCTGGCCTTGGCCATGTTTACCCGCGAGGACAAGTACAGCTGCCAGTATTGCTCCTTTGTTTCTGCTTTCAGGCACAAGTAAGTGCTATTGAGTGGTTGTGAGTGGTGTTGGGAAGAGTGTAAGAGGAGAGGGCAGCTGAGCTAGAACAGAAACTTGCAGGAGTCTGAAGTTCCAGCTCCTGGTTCACACCTGCTCTTCTGTCAGCTGTGTTACCTTGAGCCTCAGTCACTTCAGCAGTCTGTGGGGCTAAGAATAGGAAACAGTTTGGCTGAAATTATAGTTAGCCACAGTAGGCATTCTTCAAAGTGATGGTTTCGGATGTGTTCTGTGATACATGAATTTACTGCTGTATCTGTCACAGCAATGTTCACTGGGAATTGAATCCTCATTTGAGGAAGTAGCATTCCATTTGGGAAACTGAGTGACCAAGAAGGAAGTATTGGGACTTTTGACGCAGATGATGAAAGAATCACCTTGATGTTACTTTAAAAAAAGACCTTGAGAGGGAATGAAGTTTATGGTGGAGGGAGGACCTGCCAATGGTCTGTCAGAGCTTTAACATTATAAATTGTTGGACGTGTGGAAGACTTTTGGGGCTGAGAGGAAAGCCCGTGGATTTTGAGGAGATACTATTTTGTCACCTTTTTTTTGAACCATGTGAGAGAGATTAATGTTCAATAATATGTTCTGACAGTCTTATATGAAGGTGACTGATTATAAGTTTGACATACTGTTTATTTTTATGATAATTGAAAATAAATAATGGGCTATTTGCTTCTTTAAAAACATAAAGTGCTAGTTAGTGGGTTGTTGAACGGCAGGAGGAGGCAGAGCTTCTACCAGAGGTTAGGACGGGTTATAATTCTAAATTTTTGTCATCAGATTCATGCATGGGCTTAAAAAATAACCAAAAAATTGTGCCATTTTATCAATTTAATAAGTATCATTGAACCTCATTTATCACATTTCCTGACATAAGTGTATATGCCATGTGCTAGGCAAGATTCTGGAGGCTTGGGGGGGAAGGATATAAAGCTGAGTAGTACACCCTATCTGATTTAAAGAAAATATTAGAGCTATACATAAAACAAGCACACGGATGACAAGACAAGACGCTTGTTTTTGGAAATTTTTTTGAAATTCTAGGGGAATAAAATGGTGCCTTCACTTTGCAAAGTGCTCAAGGAGAAATTTGTAGGACTTTTATTCAAGTCTTAAAGTAGAGAGTTGGGGCTTGAATTACTTACAAAGAAATACTCTGTGGAGGAAGAGATGAGAAGACTGAGTGAAGTTCATGGGGAGGGGGGGACTTCAGTTTAAATAATCTCTAAATTATATGTTAAGGAATAGTCGAAGATCAGGTTTGAGTCCTTTAGAAGATAACAGACTTAGAGTTGCTGCAGGATTAGTATTGTGTAATTTACATCACTAACAAAAGGAAGAGGTTGAAGTGAGTGAATCTTCATAATTATTTATATAAATTGAACTTTATTCTGTGCCAGCATGGTGCAAAACCCCTTCAATTATTATCTATTACTCAAAATAGCCCTTTGGGGAGCTATTTATTATCTCCCCATTGTGTGGATAAGAGAAGTGAGGCCTTTTATTAAATACAGTTGTTAAGTAACTTTCCCAGGAACAGAGAGCTAAGAGCTGGTTTGGATCCCTGACTTCTGTCTACAGAGTTTGTCCTATGAGGTTGAAAAAAAAATGTGTGGAAGATCAATTAGGAGGTAGTAATAGCTACTCCAAGAAGTTAGGAAATTTGGGGGATGACTGAGGAAATTAGGGTCTTTACCACAGAAGATGGCACTGCTGTTGTAGAAACAAGAGCATGAAGAAGAGGATTTGTTTTGCAGAGATAACACAGTTTCTTTAGGGCTGGTTGAGTTTAAGATAGCTAAAGGACATCCAGCGGGAGATGTCCGGAGGCAATTGAAAATGCTGCTTTGGAGCTCAGGAGAGCATTCTGTGTTTAAGTGGTAAGCAGCTCCATTCCCATATGAGTCATTTAGAATGGAATCTAGCTCTCTGGGGTACTGATACAAATTAGAACTTCTTCCCACACCTTGTTTGGTAGATTTATTACTTTTTTTTAGATTAGTAATTATTATGAAATACTGGGAGCTCACCATAATTAAATAACTTCCTTTTAACTTGTTTCTGGGAAACTGATGTACAGCAAACAGGGTTGTATTAATCAGAAAACATAACTAAGTTTGGGCTCCCTCCCAATCTGCTTCCATATTTACAGAGACATTAGAGATACTTCAGACTACAGAAAGTAGTTCAGTTTCTTCAATGCCTCTCTTCTTTCATATGCTCTTGATTAAAGTGGAAATAATATTTACCAAGAAAGTCCTTTATAAGGCAATCTTTTCTAATTTCTTCTTTAAAAATGGTAATGAACTTTATTGCACTCCTAAGTTTTGGGAGGACTTGATTAACACATATTTTATGTTTGAGATGACCAATGGTCAACCTCTAGAGAAGGGAAATGTGTGATTACCTACTGCCATTTCTCTCAATCTATAAAGATATCTTCCTTTCTTACTTCCCCCTTCTTTTAGAGTAGGTACAACTCTTGCTCCTCCTCATTAAAAAAAATAATAATAAGATTCTTGGGGGGAGATAAGAATATTATGTGCAGTTTTTAATTTTATCATTTTTCTTTTCTTTTTTTTTTTTCCTTCTGGCTTCTATATAAAGTTTGGATCGCCATATGCAAACCCACCATGGACACCATAAACCATTCCGATGCAAACTCTGCTCCTTCAAGTCCTCCTACAACAGCCGGCTGAAAACTCACATCCTCAAAGCTCATGCTGGTAAGTTATTGATAGTGATACATAAGTTTTTCAAGTTTGAAGTCTATTGATATTTCTCTAGCAAAGTCTCATATCCCATACCTGAAAATAGGCTATTCTTCAGATGATTTGCATGTTCTGTATTAATCTAATGAAGAAAAATTAAGAAATTAATCCAAGTCAAAATAATACAATAACCATGTCATCCATCATTGATCTGTTCCACTTAATAGATTTTATTTTTTTAGAGAAATTTCTAAATTAGGAATTCCTAAATCTTCTCTTTCCTATTGGAAATGTAGAATATTGTTACATCGACTAGGGGTAATTCCCAACTCAAATGAAGTTAGAAATTTGAAATTCAAAGGGACAAAGAAAATCCCATTTAGGTGGGATCTTTTATGAAAGACCCTTGGATAGATTTTTACCCAGAGATAAGAAATTACTTAGCAGGGCAGGGGAAAGGCCTGAGTGAAAGTATGACAGGTAGGGAGCGCCTTGCACAAGGTTTACACAAGGTAGATCCCTGGCACCCTATACGGTTGCTTGAGTACTGCCAGGAGTGATCACTGAGCACAGAGCAAGAAATAATCCCTGAACACTGCTGAGTGTAATCAAAACATAAAATTTAAAAAAGGAAAGACTTTGGGCATATGGAGAAAAAGTATAGTGGGTAGAGCGCTAGCCTTGCACATGTAACTCACCCTGGTTCTGTCTCTGGCACCCTATATGGTCTCCTGATCTTTGCCAGGAGTAATTACTGACCTCAAAGCCAGATACAAGCCCTGAACACCTCTGGGTGTGGCCCATCACCCCCTTCCCCAACCACGCCCCCCCATAAAAAGACTGTTATGAGCGTTGGAAGCCATTCTGCTCTCTATTACATGATCCCCTATCTCCCTGTGATCTTTTCATGAGCATGCCTTACCTTCCAAATATGCACTCAGCATATTATATGCTTCATCTTATCCTCATGACAACTCTCAAGGGTATCTGGTGTGCCCCTCTTGTCAGATGAGGTTACAGAGCCTTAGAATATATACCATAGAGCTCACTCATTCCGAACTTTGACTCTAAAACAAAAACCCCATTCTCTTCACTGCCAAAATGCTGCTTTCTTTCTCGCTCACTCTTTTCTGCCTAGCATTTGATAGAGGGTGCCCGCAGGTAGCTAATCAAATTTAACCAAGAAAGAAGAAGTAGGCTGTAGAAACGTAGTGATGGGGAGGGTCTGAGGTCCTCAGTTATTCCCAGAACCCCAACTCAGCAGAAGCCTGCAAGACTCTTAGGAAATTTGAGCGTCTTAGAGGAACTAAGGGAAAGGAAGGCTTCAGAACACTACTTTCACTGCGTTTGACCTACAATCAAAGAACTTTCTGAAAATTTAATCAATTCCTTGAGCTTGCTTACCTAAAGTATTCACAAGGCTGGTTGGATTTTATTTAACAAGTTTTTATTGAACTAGAATTCTTCTATGTCGTTTGTTTATTTATTTCACTTTCCTATTTGGTTGTGGGAACTGCCCAGATCCCTGTTCCTTTCACCTTTACCTTGTTTTAACTGTGTGGAAATACGTATCTACTATGCTGCGTCCTGTTAAATTGACTTCATGGAATAAAAGTACAGAATCCATCCCTAACTGACCCAAGTTGCTCTGGGTGGCTAGGGAAATTAGCTGCATGTGTGGGCTTTCCTGTCTTTCTGTATCTTTATATCTACAAGAAGAATCTACCAAAAGTCATAGCCTTCAGAGTTCAAACCATTCTTTCCTAACTTCTATATATTGTAAATAATATAGAAGTTGGGATAGTATCTGGTGAGTTTTTCCTGTAGGCCTCCTCCTAGTCAAAAATTTTTACTGGAAGGAGTTAGGTAATGATTTAGCCTATGGGAAGGATTTTGAAACTGCTGCATGCAGATGTCTGGCCACTGAGCTGGGGCCACTGAACTGAAGAGTCTGTTCTTGAAGCCACTGAGTTGACGATCCTGTGTGCACTGGTTCATGAGAGGGAAGTATCCAGAGAGGGCGCAATGTAATTAAGTTCCCATCCTTGAAAACTTTTTTTTTCCCTTTTTTCTTTTTTCCTTTTGCTTTTTGGGTCACACTTGGTGATGCTCAGGAATTACTCCTGGCTCTGCAGTCAGGAATTACTCCTGGCGGTGCTCAGGGAACCATATGGAATGCTGGGAATCAAACCCAGGTCAGCCACATGCAAGGCAAACGCCCTACCTGCTGTGCTATCGCTCCAGCCCCCTGTTGTCAGAAACTTGATGGTCTTGGTGACTTTGCCAGGGAGAGTGGCTTAACTGGGGGAAAAAATCACATTTTCCCAAAACTCAAGACAACTTGTGTTTTAGATGACTTATTCCATTTTATTTTAGAGGGTAAAAAGTCATCTAGACTAACCAAATCATCTGGATATGAATTTTCTCTCAGGCTATGCTACTTACAACCACCCAACAAGGTTCATGCAGTTACACTTGCGTGAGATATTCAGAGACTGAATTAGAAGAGCTGGCTGTTGATTTCATTTGTGTAATATTTTCATTCATATAATATAAAAAACACTGTCCTCCTGGTGTTCATTGATTTGCTTGAGTGGGCCCAGTAATGTCTCCATTTTGAGACTTGTTGTTACTGTGTTTGGCATATTGAATACGTCACTGATAGCTTGCCAGGCTTTGTCGCGTGGGTGGGATACTCTCGGTAGCTTGCAGGGCTCTCCACCGAGAAGGGCGGAGGAATCAAACCTGGCTCAGCCGGGCTGGTTGCGTGCAAGGCAAACACCCTACCACTGTGCTATCACTCTAGCCAATGATGTAAATATGATTTAAATAATGTAGCACTGTAGCACTGTCCTCCCATTGTTCATTATTTGCTCGAGCGGGCCCAGTAACGTCTCCTTTGTGAGACTTGTTGTTACTATGTTTGGCATATCAAATACTTCATGGGTAGCTTGCCAGGCTTTGCTGTGTGGGCGAGATACTCTCAGTAGCTTGCCAGGCTCTCCAAGAGGAGCAGAGGAATCGAATGCCAGTCTGCCAGGTCGGCCTCGTTAAGGCAAATGATCTACCCGCTGGGCTATTGCTCCATTTAAATAGTATATAAATTTATATATATATGTATTTCTAGTATTTATAAGTATACATACTATGCAGAATTATGCATATTATTTACAATATGCAACAGAAGTGTGTGCCACACATATTGCACTGTAGTGTGTGTAATACTTTGTATCACATTGTTTATGTTTTTATAATTGAAATACATATATAAATCTTCACATTGATGTCTCATTATGTCTCGTATGGTAATAAGTCCATTGTTCCCTGCGTTGCATTATCTTCCAACTCCTAGGTAATCATTGCAGGGAGAGCTATCTGGTATTCCTGTGGGCCCTCTGCCTTCTTGGAACTTTTCTTCTACTTTAGACCGCATCTTTCAAGTTGTCCTTTATTTCTCTTCAAGGACTTCTGGAAAATGTATGCGCTGAGTCATTAGTGGTAAAAGAAGTGCAGTGTTTGGATGTTTGGCTCACTTTCCATGTGAAACCATTTAGAAATTTTGAGGGTAGCACAATGATGACCATATCAGTGGGGTGAGAGCAAGGGCAGAGGTTCACCTGTGTTCCTACTTGAACTTACTGTCTGTAATCCACTGGGTCATTTCCCCTGGTCCAGAAAACTTGCATTGCTGAAGACGGGATCTCTCTTATGCCTCTACTTCATTCTCTTTCCTCTCCTCTGGATTTAATTTTGTTTTATTCTATTAATTCTAGGGTCTTACCCTGCAGTGCCCAAGACCTATGCCCCGCTGAGTGCTCAGTTGCTTTGAATTGAGCTGTGGATACTATTGCAATGCTAGGGACTGAACTAGGGCTACTATTTTTCCAACCCATTCATATTGCCCTTTAACCATTTTCTTTTATAATTATTTTAACAATATGTTTATAATTTAATCTAAAATATATTAAATAATGTGCTTTATATTTTTCTATATTAGTATTTTTTAAACTTTTAATTTATTTATTTTTTGGTTTTGGGGTCAAATCCAGTTGTGGTCAGGAGTTACTCCAGGTTCTGCACTCAGGGCTCATTCCTAGTGAGCTCCATGTGGAGTGCTGGGAATAAATTCTAGGTCAGCTTGCATGTAAGGCAAGCGCCTTACTCTCTGGCCCTCAGTATTTTATATTTAACATTTTCTGTTATTGTAAATGTGTCATCAAGAAGATTATAACTTATTTAGCATAAAGTATATTTCTGAATAAAGCTTTCTATGCATTAAAAGATATTTCCCTAATATAAATTCTCAGAAGTGGAATTATTGAGTAGTAGGCGTGAAATTTCAAAGTCTGTTGTACTGAAGAAACATCGCTTCCTGAATTGATCTGCCAGGAAGTACCTGTTCCTAGTGTAAGCAAGGTCATTTAACAGCTTTGTTTCAAAAAAATACATCTGAATGGAAATACTGACTTAGGACAATGCATTCGTGATCTATGCTGGGTTTCAATGGTATAAAAATAATTAAAACAAGGGCTTAAGGTGCTTGTGTTGCATGCAGCTGACCATGGTTCAGTTTCTGACACTGCTTTTGGGTTCCTAGGTACTGCTAGAAATGACCCGGAACATAGTACCAGAAGTAAGCCTTGAGCACTGCTGGTTGTGGCCTACCCCTTCCCTATTTAAACAAAAAACATATTTTTACTGAATGTCATATTTACATATTTACACATATTAGAATCACATATTTATACACACATACCCAGTTTAAAAAATGCTTATTTTTACCCATTTCGCACTATTCACTAGATTTTGAAATGCAGTTTTATGCTCAAATTTGTACCCTGGTTCAATAAAAATAAAATAGTTTGCATGGGGTCAAGAAAGTGTCTAGTAAGCAAAGAGGTAAAGAAAGAGATGAGTTCAGAGTTTGAAATTTGTGAGATTCATTTTTGGGTAATTACCCAGCTATTGATATATCCTTTAAAAATATAAATAAAAAGACAAACTTCAGTGAAAACTGACATGGTAATTTCTAGTAGAAAGAATAAGATCAGGAACCCTTTTGAAAGAGGCATAGATAGACATTTTGTTTCATTACCTGTTGGGCAGTCAGCCCATAGTTTCATTCCTGTCATGGAATATAAAATAAACAGAAAATGACTGGTCTTGATTGTGAAGCTCTTTGAAGATTTTGAATCTCAAGGGAGCACTGAGCTGTGGAGGGAATGGGCTGGTCATTGGTCTATAAAGGTTATTAGATCATGAAGCTTGAGAAGTGCTTCTCTGGAGTGAAGTAACCTTGTTCTTTTGTTTTCCACCCTACCTTGTACCCACCCACCCTCTTTTTCCTGCCCCATCCCTTTCCTCCATCTTTCCAGGGGAACATGCCTACAAGTGTTCTTGGTGCTCCTTCTCCACCATGACAATCAGCCAGTTGAAGGAACACTCCCTCAAGGTCCACGGGAAAGCCCTGACCCTCCCCAGGCCACGACTTGTCAGCCTTCTCTCCTCACATGCCCACCACTCCTCCCAAAAAGCTTCTCCAGCTGAAGAAGTGGAAGACTCCAATGGTAAAAATGGGCTTCTGAGCCCACAATCACCACTTGGGATCAAGGTGGCTTGGGTTCACTGCCAGTCCATCTTTCTAGAAGAGAATTTACATGTGATCATTATAAATGCTCATGGGAAGGAAGAAATGTGAGAAGGTTGAATAGTATGGGAATTGGAGTGGGAAGTGGTGTTGAAGGGGTGAGGGTGTGTTCCAAGCCCTGGTGTTCATTCAGCCTTGCTCGAGGAGAGGCTTGTGATGGATGGGTTTGTGTTAGATGCTTCCACTGAGGTTATGAACCAGAAACCGAAAATGGGTGGAACGCCAGGCAGATGTGTTTATTTATGTCTTATTCTTTTTTATTTGAAATAGGTGTTGTGAAACTTTTTGTGGTTATGGATATGTATGTTAAACTACATAGAATTCAGAGTCGGAATAGACAGTGTGAATGGATGAGGCAAGTTTGTGTGATTGGGTCACAGGCTCATTTAATAGTGATAAGGAAGCCATCTGTAACAGAAGCTGAACTATTTGGAGGAAGTGGCAGTTGGGTCAGAAGGTTGTCAACCCCTGTCCCCACCTTTTTAAATTTAATTTTGTTTTGGTCATACCCGTCAATGCTCAGAAGTTACTTTCGGTTCTGCACTCAGAAATTGCTCCTTGCAGTGTTCAGGGAACCATTTTGGATGCCAGGGATAGAAGTTGGGTCAACGGCATGCAAGGCAAACGCCCTACCCACTGTACTAATGCTGTAGCCCTGCTTTACCCAATTTTAAACATTAAAATAAAAATCCAGGAACACGTGGAGAGTTGTTCTTATTGGCAAGAGGACAGAGAGACAGACAGACATGGAGAGATTTGATTGAAGCCAAGTGAGGTTGAGGGGACAACTTAAGAGAGAACAAGAATAACTTAAAATATGTATTTGGAGTTATCAAAAGAGTAAATACAAGTCATCTTTATTCATGAGATCCATAAGAAGACAGCCTTAGGAGAACAAGTAATGATAAATGCTGAGATTCAGAGCTATTTTTATGGAGTTGGAGCACTTGGTGCCTTGCCCTTTATACATACATGACATGACATAGCTTAGCTCCTTGCTGATACCCTGGCTTATAGGACTTTCTTGAACCAAGGTTTTGTACAGTGAGTTTTGTACAGTGGCTCATGAAATAAGCACACTCTCTTGTCCCTTGGTGGGCCGTAGTTTCAATTAGAGGAGTAAACTGGTTCTGCTGTTGTCATTGTTTACCAGATATACTGGTGGGTAGGGAGCATATGTGGGCAGGTATGACAGATGTCCCCTGGCACTTTGATAGTCTGATTCTTGAAAATAATGGATCTATTGCAGCTAAGGACCAACAAATTTGGTAAAAGGTAAAGGTAAAGGCCCTCCCGTTGTTCATCGATTTGCTCGAGCGGACCCAGTAACGTCTCCATTGGAGACTTTGTTGTTACTGTGTTTGGCATATCGAATACGTCACGGGGAGCTTGCCGGGCCCTGCCGTGCGGGCGAGATACTCTCAGTAGCTTGCCGGGCTCTCCGAGAGGGGCGGAGGAATCGAACTCGGGTCGGCCATGTTGGCTGCGTGCAAGGCAAACGCTCTACCGCTGTGCTATCGCTCCAGCCCAACAAATTTGGAGTAAAGAATAAAATCTTTGTATATATGATTTTTAGTGAATTGGCTTTTAAACTAGAAGTCATTCCTAGGGAACCATGTTTTCAGCAAAAACATTTCCTAGACCTTTCCCTCATTGTTATTCCTTCCTTTTCCTTTGATCTTGCTGCCTTGAAAGGTAGGTCTCAGTGACAAAACAAGGGAATCCACGGGGTAGCCACTCCATGGACCATTTTTCTCCTAAAGGAACTTAGCTGAGACTAAGATGAGTTGAGTTCTAGCAATTTCCTTAGTTCCTACTCTTTCTAGTTACTGTCTGCTATGCCCAGAAAAATCCTACCAAATACAGCACTGTCCTGATGCTCTAAATGCTTAGAATCATATCTTTACAAGATATGATCAGTATTCACATCTGCACTAAACAAAACCCTGGACCTAGGGACTAACTCTTGGAGTGATGATTTTGGATTCTTAGAAGCTAGACTGACAGACTGTCCTAGTACCTGCCAACTTGATGCTGTGGAACTCTTTGAAACGCAGTTTGCCTACTTTTATTTAGCTCTGGGAAGATAATTTACAGTATATGTAAGAGCATGTTTCCCCCCTTTTCTTTTGTTTTGGAGGGTCTCCTGGGAGTCCCAGCGAGTGGGTTGGACAGTTCAGTGCTTGGGCCCAGCAAATCTGGGCGGTATCAAAGCCACACCTGGTAGTATTATGGGCAAAGGGAAGAAGCATGTGGTTCTAGGAATCTAACCAGGTCCCTCTGTACATGGTAGCATGTGCCCCTGCCCGCTGAGCTGGCCCCTTTTTCCTTCCTTAAAAATTTGACTGTCATGTCTGTGGAGCCCTGAGTAGAAGTTATTTCATGAGATCATTTAATTTCATTTTTATTTATTTTAAATTCCCTCAGCCTCCTTCCCTTTGCTTTTGTTATGAATGTTGTTGTCAAGGCTTGGGAGTTGCAACTTGCACAACTTGCACAACTGTGGTGCTGGCTGGGACTCATCAGGTTGCTGGGCATATGCACTTGGGCCAAGTGCGTCCTGAGGCTCACCCAACTTTAGTCCTGCCTGCTGGAGTAAGTGCTCATCACTGAGGCATAGTGGTTAGGGTTGTGGGTTGTGTATGCTGGTGGTAGTTGCTGTGCTCACATCTCTCTTTAATTGTGGTGCTCACAGATGTCTAGTGAAGGTGGGATCAAAAATCACTGTGGTGCCAGGGATCACAGAGAGCAGAGTGTCTGCACTGTGCCAAACATATGGGGGACACCAGGGGGTTTGCACTCAGGGACCACATGCTTGTTAGGCAGATGCTCTTAACTTCTGTGCTGGTCCTTTGAGCTGCGAGCAGCTTTCTTTTCTAGGGGCCCCATTCAGCAGGATTGGGGGCGTGGGATGGAGCCAATCCTGGTAATGCTGAGTCCAGTGGTGCTCAGTGGCCTCAGCTGGTGGTGCTAAGAATCTGGTATTGAGTATTGAACTCTGGGTCTCATACATGCTAATTACCTCAAGGGCTAGCTCACTGGTTGGTCCCCTGTGCAGTTTTTTGTTTGTATGTTGTTTGGGGATCATACCCAACTATGCTCAGGGGCTCCACTGTATACTTAGGAATTACTCCTAGAAGTTCTCAGGGGACCCTATGGAATGCTGGGGATTGAACCTGGGGATTTGACTATGTCGGCAAGCACCCTACCTGCTACAGTATTTCTCCAGTGTTCCCTGTGCTGTTTCTAACGTTCATGCCAAATGACCAGTACTGATTAGTTGTATGAAAAAGAGAATAACTTGATTAGAAGGTAGGGTAAACAGGAAGAAGGCATCAGATGGGGCAGTCTCGTGAATGAATAATTCTGAGAAGGGGATAATTGATTCATGTAACAAATAGTTCTCTTGAATCCTCCCTAAAAATACTGCTTGATTTTGGACAAATGACCAATTCTTGCAGGAATAGTTAAGGAGCTGGTTATCAGGAAGCTTCTCTCCTGGGAGCTGAGTGCTGGATTCCTAGAAACAGCAAGGTCACAGTGGGGTTGAGGGTGGCAAGACAGCTGTGGGACTAGACAGTAGCCTGTAAATCATGGCTTGAACAGGGTCTGGAATGCACATGTGAAATCCAGTTGCACGTTTTAATGGGGAGAAGCTGTGGTGCTACTGGCTCTCAGTTCAGGTTTTCCACAGTATGGATGCCAGGATGCTGCGAACACAGAAACCCAGAATGGGATGCAGTCTGGGGGGAGTAGAGACCCATAAAACCAGGAAAATCACTAATGTGTGCTTGACGCTGAGTCCCTGGAGAAGGAGGTGAGTAAAAAGAGTTGCATGCTGTGCTCATTGCTATTTTCAGTGGTCGGATACTTGCACTCAGGCTCACTCATGCTCCTGGCCGCCGGGAGAGAGAGCCAGTCTGCACTGTTAAGAGGAAATAGCCTGAAAAGGTTATTCTAGAACCGTTTTCCTTCCCCACCCTGGGGAACCATGTGAACAGGCAGACTTGAGAAGGTGTGTGTGTTAGGTAGAGATTTCACCCCAGCTGCCTGGACACACACCTGTTCTTTACATGAGCAGAGCACTGGGGCTCTGGGCTGTCCTGTCTTCCTAGATTTCAACTGGCACGTGAACCCTCCAGATACTCTTCAGGAGCTGGAAAGAAAAGCAACAATTCTGTAGATAGAAGAATGGAAATGGCACGTAATTGCTATTCTAAACAATATATTAAGGGGAAATCATAAGGTTGTCAGCAAAAGGAAATGTTCTGCTGTGTTTGTGTTTATTGGGTTTCTTCTCCTACCATATAAATAAAAGGACTGGATTTTGTCAAGCTTTTCCTAAGGCTACTTTCAGTACAGACATGTGCGTGCATGTGCACCCCCCCCCCCCCCCACACACACACACACAAAGAAGCCAGAACAGTATAGCTTAGTTATGAAATTTGTCTGGGTCTGGCATGCAGTGCATGGGAAACAGATACAGAACTGTTACTTCAGCCATATCTCTATAAGAAATCGGGCCATTGGTGTCATTTCATCTTTTTTCTCCCTTGAACTTCCCCCAAAAGAAGTTATGTATATTATTTTCACTTCCTCCGTCTATCCAATTATGCTCCATGGAATTGCCTGCCTGTTTTAGGAATAGCAACTCTGATATATTTAAAACAGAATGATAGATACCTTGACAAGGTACAGAATACAGGCGGTGAGTGCAGATAGATGCCCCAGTGGTATTCGAGCTCTGGTCACCACACCTCCCCTGTAGATCTCCAGAGAGTTCACCCAAGAGAGAAGTCTTTTCTACTATGAATTAGTAATGTTGAAAGGCGCTTTGTGCTTTTTCTATTACAACTTTTCACTTGTTTTTACCTCTGAATGCTACAACAATATGTTGAGGTTTAGGAGGGGAAGAGGCTA